ACATGATGAAGAGAATGATAGCAAGTAATCTCCACTTCTCACAGATAAAATGATTTAGATTGTAGTTTGTAGAATGCCTATCTTAGTCTGTTTTCTGTTACTATAACAGAAATGCATGGAGCTGGAGAATTTCATAAATGAAAGAGATTTACTTAGTTCATAGTTCTGGACCAAAGAGTTCAAGATGTGGCAGCTGCATTTTGGGGAGAGCCTCATGCTGCTCCACTCCAGCCGTGTAGGCCAGCAGCACTTCACAGCATTATAAAATCAACTTTTGAAAGAGCCACAAGTAGGCTTCATTTTTATTGTGTGTTGACTATACCTTATTTTTATGCCTGTCTCCATAAGGTAGTCATTACTGATTTTTGTGGTTGGCTTCATGCATAGCCTATATACCTCATTCTTTTTTTTAATAAAAGTACTCTGTCTTATAAAGCACAAGGCCTCAAGCTGCTGAGTCAGATGTGATGTCACCTTTCAAATGCATATATGGCTGGCCACAAGGATCGTGGGAGTTGATTATCTGACACAGATATGTCGGGAATTCCTCTGCTGTCAACTGACCACAAACCACAGCTCTGGTTGGTCAAAGACTGTTTAGCAAGCGACTCAGTACTCTGAGTGCTCCAAGGAGCCAGACTATGAGCTGGGACTATTTCAGAATGAGATATAGTGCTTCTTCCAGAATGTCAATTAATATTCTGCTCCATTCATGAGAAAAATTTATCATTGACTGAATCAAACTGTGTTTCATGACATAATTAATCAACATTCTGGTGCAAGTTTACACCAGTCTGTGAAACACATTTTGAGGAGTGTTGTTTTCATTTTATGAGAGTGGATGAGTGAAATAATTATATAAAAAATGGACTAGGTGGCATGTTAGAGTTAGGGTGGAAGGGTGGAGAAAAGATTCTTCATAAAAAAATAAAAATTCTCTGTAAGTTGGACCATGTTCCTTGCTCACTTTTAGTTGGCACAAGAGAGGGACACATTTCTCAAGAATGCCATCAACCCCTGCAAAGGTTTCCTCCTCTTGCTGTTTTTCTCTTCTTTTTCTGACCCCTTTTCAATGTTCCTGAGATGGAATTTAAGAGAGAAAAACATTACATGGAAAGTTCGTTGGATAGTCTTGGCTTTAAACACTTTTTATTGCCTGCTTTGTAAATGCTCAGGGAAATTCAGCACCAGAACCATCATCAACATGTAAGAGAGTGGTAGGCCTGGCTGCAACTGGGATCCATGTTGGTCTGATGTTCCTACCCTGATGAGAATGGTATCTGGGCCAGAACTTCTAAATTGCCCACATTGGCATACTCATTTTTTTTTTTTTTTCTTTTTGGAATCTTGAGGCTGGTTTTAGTGTCATCATCTTTGTCATAGCCCTTGCCACTTACCTGTATTTGTGTTCTGGACTGTATGGGATGTTAAGCAGGTTGGAAAGCTATGTCTGGATGTCCTTGACTGGGTCAAGGGTCTGTTAGGTGACTAGTTATGTATCACACACACACACACACACACACACACACAGGAATCTAGTGTCCCTGTAGATTGTGGATTTCATCTTATCATCTTTGTACCCTTTACAATAGTGTGTGCACTGCTGAAAATGGTGTGTATGATGTTATTCCAGTAAATGGTAGTGGACAAACTTCTTTATGTTTCTGAGAATATAGCAACTGAATGATACCCCCAACACTCAAACTTAGTATGTTATGGTATGAATTTATTGAACTTGAATGTTATCCATCAAGGCATCATGAATATAAAAGCCCATCTTCTTGAAATATAGCATCCTTGATATTCATGAATCATGAGTTTTAGAATTTCTCGCTGATCAGTAACCTCCTTGAGGACCAGAAATGGGTCTTGGCTCTGCTGTTCGTCCAGTACCTAGCATACTTACCCTCTACATGTAATTCCTGTAACTGAAAAACATGTGTGGAAGCTCTGAACAGGCTCTTCAGTATTTTCTATTGCTGCTAGTGCCACCACCAACACGCAAGTGTTTCTCAGGTTACAAATTGTGTATCATCTGGTCCCAGGCTTCTCAATTCTCATGCACCCCCTTTTTCTTCCGCACACAGCCCTGACGGCTTTGCTGCCCAGCAGGCACAATTCTCTGAGAAACATGGCTGCTTAATACATTGCAGATGATGTGAGAGCATGGGCGGCAACGCCGAGGACCTTCCCGAAGAAAGATTGGCGACAGCTGTCAGAGCTAGGAAATAAAGTCTGAGGAAGCAATGTGGAGTCTGACTACGAGACCTCTAAGAAAGTCCAAAGGCGGCATCCACACCTTGCCTCAAGCCTGACCCAAGCTCTCTCCTCTCTTAGGCTCAATCCCCCCCCCTTTTTTTTAAGTGTCTTTCTTAGGGAGAGAACACTTTTTCACTCAGTCAGGGAATCAGGCCTTCTGCAAGTGCAAGTGCCAGGCTTTAGGCAAGAAAAACCCATGGCCACGGTCAGACCTCTCGACCCACTCCCACCCCCTTCGCATCTTCTTGTTTCCTTTTGTAATGTTAAGCCATGAAACACAGAGGTTCCTCCTTCCCCTTACATCGTGTTTCTGAGAACCTGCACCTATCACGCCATTTGAGGGCACTACAGTGCATGGCCAAAGCCTCTTCCCCAGGAGTCTGACTTTTTTTTTTTTTTTTTTTTTGGTCAATGTACCAGGATCTCTTTTCATCCTATCTTTGTAACTGGAGCACTCCATCCGTGTACAAATCATTAAATCACCGCAAACTCATTTGCTTTGGATTCTGTTTCCTGGTAAGTTTGATTTGCTTTGTGGTTGGTTTGCCCACAGGTCCTGACACTGCTGCTGTCTGGGCATTAGCTTCTTGATTGTGTTTTAACAATGTACCACCATCTCGTTGGTTACAAACATGACACAAATTTACATGGATGTCTAAAGTGAGATGACAGGGCCGCATCCTCGTGGGTGCAGCTTGGGGTGGAATTTCGCTTTCTTTTCCAACTTCTAGAGGCTGTCTAGAAGTTTTACATGCATGGAAGACATTTAAAAGAAGAAGAGGCCAGCTGACTACAGTGCCAGGGGTAAAGGATGTGTTTTGGGACTGTGGATAGTTTTACCTATTGTCTTTTATACTTAGCTATAGCTTTTGTGTATAAAAAGATATACTTCTTGTCTATTATAGCACTTCTCTCGTTTTCTTTATCCAAACTAGGACAGACAAATCTGGAAGAACTTCTGGGTTGAAGTCTCCAAGGGTGACCCTAGGTTTGATGGCTCACTAGAAAGATTCACAAAACTCAGCATATAATTGTCCTTGTAGCTTTTACAGGAAATTAAAAACAAACAAACAAAAAACCAAACAAAATCAAGGAGAAAATGCACATGATATGAAGTTGAGAGGAATCAGGAGCTTTTGAGAGTCCTTCCCTGGTATGGGCATATGTGACACACAGTTCCTGTGGAATCAGACTGTGGCAACAATGTAGGGAATACTGCCTAGCAAGGAAGTGGAGTCAAGTATCCAAGGTTGGGGACTTGTCACATAGGCACACTTTGCCTAACACTGTCCCACATTTCAGATCCATAGAAGAAAGGGAGGTATTCATTATAAATCACATCGGCCCTCTTCATGTCTCCATTTAACTCATCACTGTGGTCCTTGGAAACCATGACCTGTTTTGCAAGTAGCAGCAGATTAAGGTGAATTCAATCAGCAGAGGCCTGTGATGACCCAGAGAGTGTTGAATCCTCTATCTTTGCTAGAAGTAGTACATAGCTGTGTGCTATGCAACTATTTGGTGGGCACATTAAGAATCAGAAATGTTCATATGACATGAACAGTAATATATAGTCTTGTGCCAAGGCTACTGATACTGTTGCTTCTGTTATCATTAAGAGATTTACACTATACAGGCATTCTAAACAAAACTATATAATTGAAAATATGGATGAGGTTAATCCAGTGAGATAAACAAGAAATAGAAGTATGCTAGCAAATGCCTGTGATCCTAGTACTCAGAAGGCTGAGGAAGGAGGGTCACATGTTCTAGGCCATCATGGGCTACATAGTGAGACACGCCTCAAAAAACTCCTTTTTTAAAAGAAGGCTGAGATACATCTCAGGACAAGAGCACACATTGTTCTTGCAGAGGACCTAGGTTTGGTTCCAAGCACCTGAACCAGGCAGCTCATACTGCTTGTAGCTTCAGTTCTAGAGAATCTACTCATGTGCATACCCTCTCCCACAAACACATAATTAAAAATAAATCTTTTATAATAAAATGCTAGGCCACAGAAGAGGACATGGCAGCCAGTCCTGAAGAGACCTGATAAGCTAGGGTCAGATGGAAGGGGAGGAGGACCTCCCCTATCAGTGGACTTAGAGAGGGGCAGGGAGGAGATAAAGGAGGGTGGGTGGAATTGGGAGGGAATGAGGGAGGACAAAGAGGACAAAGAGTTCACTGTGACACAAGCGGCAAAAGTGGCCGTGCAACTATAATGGGGCAGAATCAGAATCTGGAACCTTCCCCTTGAGAGTCTTCCAGGCTTGCTCTATTGCGTGCAGCCAGGAGAGGGGAAGCTGGAGATGCTGCTTCAGCTTCGCCTTTCACCACTGTCCTTTCTTCATTGGTAATGTGCATGCTCACAAAGAGGCTGAGGCTTTAGACTCTACCTACAGTTCTGGTTCGAGTACCTGCTGTGACTTATACATTAGACAGCAAAATTAAGTAACAGGCAGACAATTAAAAAAAATGAGGGTAAAAAAAAAAGAATCTCAGTAATTTTAGTCCTTTAGCATGGTAATTATCTTCCAAATGTGGGGAAAATCTCTTTTAGAGGGAAGATTTGCAGTCTACATGAAAACACAAGAGCTTAAATACAAAAATCTTCAACTGACCATATCTTTATGATACTAAGATGAAACAAAGTGAACAAATAAAGAAAATATGAACACATATTAATACAATGAAAGAATTGCCAGACACATTCTAACAACTATGCACAGATCTGGGAATAAGGTTCCTTTAAAGACCTGTGCTATATATGAGGTGAGACTCTGGTCAATACATTTTATTCTAATGTACAATATTTATGACTCTTAATTTTATTTTTTTGTAAGAAGTCAGGAGAAGCAAAACTTCCGACATTTGGCTTAATCAGTAAATAGCTGAAACTCTTTTTTTGTATTTCAGAAGAAATCCCAAGATAGCTCTTTTGCATGCCCACTTCTCTAAACTGCCACTAGCCGGCCATCAATTGTTTCTATTCCCACTGCAAGGACTGCACATCTTAAATAGCTTTCCCTATGCTTTACGGTTGTTAAAGGGGTCAGCAATGTTACCTTGTAGAAACCACAAAACAGCATTGCGGGTCTTCAGCTGGTACCAGCGCTAAGGGTTTGAAGAGCTGAAAACAGCTCTTCAAAGTACCAAAACGACTCTCCTGAAATCATGTCCTTTGGTGTTTGAGGCTGGTTTGCATCAGATAGTCCTTGTGGGGAGGCACTGTGCTAAAATCTTACTCTCAGGGTCTCGAGTACTTTGTTAAAAAAAATACTCTGTTGCATGACTAATAACTACAGTGGATTGGGGTGGATGCGAGATGAATGTGTGTTGTAAACGAATTCTACTTCACAGTAAAATATAAAATTAAAATCACAATTTACTATAAAGTGTACACAAGTTAAGTGTAGTCAAAGTTAGAAATCTGATGTTCTTTTAATTGCTGTAACTTAATATGGCCAACTTGATACATTTGCTTTTTAAAGATTCAACTACCTTCCAGCACCAGTTTAGGTCTGGGAAAATATAATTGTCATTGGTCACACAAACGCACAACCACAACACATCTTCAACTAGTTTTTGGCTTGCCTATTGCTGGCAGTGATGTCATTGATGATGGGATTTTGTATCGGTGCGTGAGAATCTTCTGAGAAGTATTATCAGTATCAGTGGCAGATGGGACATACAATAAATTACTTTGCAAACTGCAGGCTCCTCCTGCTTTTTCACGGTGGCATTCCCAACAGGAAGCATCCAGTCTTCTGGCAGTTTCTTGGCTGATCAGACATTCGTTCTTTACTTCCCTGGTTATCTTCCTCAAGGATTTCTGAAAATGTATTTCTTGGTCCAAAACATTCTGTAGCCTTTCCTTGGTATTCCTAGCTTGATGATCACAGACTCTAATTTATGCATAAATTTCTTTGGACTGTCCATAACACTGTAGCTATGCTCCTAAAATACAAACATCATATAAATATAGACAAAAGCTTAGCACTAAGTTTCAGCCATTTCTTTCTTCTTTTTTAAAAACTTATTATTTATACACTGTTCTGTACATCTGTAGGCCAGCAGAGGGCACCAGATCTCATCAGAGATGGTTGTGAGCTACCATGTGGTTGCTGGGAATTGAACTCAGTTCCTCTGGAAGAACATGCAGTGCTCTTAACCTCTGAGGCATCTCTCCAGCCCATTTCTTAATTTATGATGCTTAAGGAGACATCATTAGAGGCTTAGCAAGCACAGGAAGAGGATGGGAAGCAGAAGCAGTATTATGGTGGCTAAGCTTTTTTCTTTCTGAGGCTCAGAGTCTGTGAGGAGCAGGGAACACTGTTTATTAAATCCTATTAGACTTTGCCCAGGGTGTCACAGGAATGACCGAAACACTAAATTAGAATCCTCAAGAGATGGCTCAGAGGTTAAGAACACTGGCTGCTCTTCCAGAGGTCCTGAGTTCAATTTCACATGGTGGCTCACTACCATCTATAATGAGAGATCTGGTGCCCTCTTCTGGTGTGCAGGTGTAACTGCAGATAGTGCCCTTATAATAAATACATACATATAAATCAATCAATCAATCAATCAATCAATCAATCAATCTCTTTAAAAAAAATCCTCAAGCTTTATCTGCAATGCAGCTAAATAATCCTTGGTCTGAACTTGTAATTTATAGTGAACAACTTTTGGCTTATCTATTTCTAAACAGAAGAGATGGATATTTGAACAAATATCCTTCATTTAGATTGTAAACTACGTGTAAAAACAGTGAATTTAATTCAGTTAAAATGCAGACATTAGCAAAAGTGAGTCTGACAATTTGTGTGTGTGTTTTGTGGTGTTGGTATCTTGTCTTTGATTCCTTGGCACTTAAAACATTATAAAGGCATAAAGGAACCACTGTCAGCTCAATTTAACAAGGCAAGTTTAAAAGGACTTGGGAACCAAAGCTTGTAACTGCTGACCTAGGGAGAATCGCTCATTTCTTAAGAACTTGGCTTGAGTACTGCAAAGTCTTACACATTTGAAATGTCAGCCCTTTTAACTTGGAAATTTAGCAAAACAGCGCGAAGCACATCCAACGGCCGAGCAACATTTCACCAAGATTTTAACAACTCATAACAAAACTGTAAGAGAATGAAAACGAGTTAGTAACTTCAGGGCTAAGCCAAAGGCACAACCCCACCGCACCCCAACATCTCAAGTTTTGCCGGTAAAATGTTCTAAGGACTCAGTACTTTACAAGAGCAGGCATTTCGCTACGCCCCTTGAGGTCTGAGATTTCAACTTGGCAGGCTTGGTTCTTTCTCTCTGTTCTCGTATCTTCCCTGCCACAGGTCTGTGCCCATCAAGTCCTGCTGGCACACTGTTTGCTGCTCGACTTTCGGCGTCCCCTTCCCCGAAAGACACTACACACCCTCCAAGTGTCTCTCCAAATTGTGATCTCATTTAAGGCAGTGACGGTCTCCGGTACCCAGCCGAGGGTTCCACTGGGGCGTGTCTACTTCTTTTTCACTTTTCGTTCTCTCGTCTCAGACTAGCACCCCTTCCAAAGGAGGCGCGCGGGTACGGCAATGGGAACGGAGCGTGGGCAGCCGCAGACCCGAGGGGCAGGCCGAGCGAGCTCCGCCCCCTTCTGGAGGCCGAGGGCGGGGCCTCGGTTCACGCCGACGGCGGCCCCAGCCGTCCCCACCCGGCGTCGCCGGGGTCCCCTCCACCCCGACATCCGGACTGGCAGCGATGCGGGGGGCAAAGAGGAGCCCACCTACGGGTTGTCACTGGTGACAGCGGAGAGAGCGACTAACGTCGACGGCGGACTCGGCGTCTCACTCCACTTCCCCCCCCTCCCCGGAACAGGAACCGGAAATCCGGCTGCCCCGGATCACGTGATCGGCCGCCATATTGCGTGGTGGCAGCTGCTGGGAGGAGGAGGAGGAGGAGGAGGAGGGCTATCAGACGGGCTCTGCTTCTCTTAAAGGCGTGACTTCCAAGCTGGGGGGAAGGTTCTGTGGATCGTGACGGGGAGGTGGAGGAGGAGATGGCGGCGACGGCGCGGGAAGATGGCGTCCGCTGCCCGGAGCGAGGGCGGCGGGGCTGCGAGCACTATGACAGAGGCTGTCTCCTCAAGGTGACGACTTTAAAGGGCACTTCCTGCCATGCTGCCGCCGGGTCAGGCCGGGGCAGGTTGGGGCTAGGCAGCTGCTTAACTTTGGGCATACATTTTAGAGCGAGCTGCCTGTCAGGATACCCTCCACCTGTAATAGGGTTCCCCTTGCAGGGAACGTTTTCGGGCGTGAGTCGGGCGTGAGCTCTAAACTTGCTCTCAGCTTTTGTACTTTGCAAGCGAAGTTCTTGTTTATAAAGGGCCCGGGGCCTTCCTTGCACAAAATCACTTCGCCAGTGGGTTTATTCGTCATTTGCGGTTGACAGTAGAATGTAAGGCCTGTCCTAAGCGTTTCTCCAGGACCGCTGTCAGGCGTGTATGATGAAGCAATGAAAGTATAAGCAAGAGGAAAAAACAGAATATAATTTCTGTTGGTATAGGAAGTACACAGTATAGCCTGTCAGCTTCATTTGGTTGACCTATCAAGGAGAAAATAAGTGTGTGAAATGAGAGACAGTTGTGTGTAATTGCCATTAAGTTGGATATCGGAGGAGTGCCTAATACGTATATGCTGTATTGAAGCATGAGAAATGTTGTACCCATCTGTAGTTTTTAAAAGGGGCCCTCACACAGTTAAGACTGTCCTGATTTTTTAAAGAAGCAGTATGAATATTTTGTTGAGAAAGCCTGAAGGATGTAACCCAGCAGTAGAACTTGTGCTTCAAATGCTGAAGGCCTTGGCTTCCATCTTCACAAGTCTCCTCCCACTGAAAAGAAACTTGCTGTTGCCTCCCTCCCCAATACTTTAGTTCTGTCCCTGACTTGCTCTGTAATTTTGAGCAAGCTGCTGTTTAAATGGCTTGTATATGAAATTGCAATTTTAGAGGTTCCTTTTTCATGGCTGGGCTTAGTGGTGAAGGCTCGTAGTTCCAGCAGACATCTGCTTCCAGCTATTTGTGAAGCTGAGGCAGCATGAATGCCAGCTGGAACTGCTATGGCCAATAAAAAAAAAGGGGGGGGGAGTGGCTGGGGATATGCACGGTCGTTGCTAGAGTATTGATTCCAGCAGAGAGACGGTCCCTAGGTTCAGTCTTCACGCCAACAAGGAAAAGCCCTCTTATATAAACAATATGATGGATACTAGAGTGCACCTGTAGGTTTGGGAGTTAGAGTAAATATTAACTGCCACTCACTGTCTGTCTCTTATTTCTTAAACTTTACCAATCAGCCCTGGTCACTGACCTTAAAAATTACGATTAAATGATAGGCTTAGGTCTGTAAGACAACTTAAACCCTTTTCTGTAGGCCATGGTTTGGTGAACATTGCTTCATTGGGTGGGATGAGTTTCTTTCAAGCTGGTCAGTTACCTAATGTTGTGGGAGTTAAACACTATTCTTTTGATTGCATTTCTACTGAAGTGTTTTTACAGTTTCAAAGTGAGGTATGAACCTGAATTTAACATCTTGGACTTCCCCACTCACCCGAGCAAAGAAATTGCACAACCAAATTTGTGTTTTATAGCACTTAAATTGCTTTTCCCTGAGTGTCAAGCACTGTTTTTCTTTTCCCTCCCTCTCTTCCTTAAATAGGAGAGGCCAGCTCAGGGACAAGTCATCTACTAGATCAGATGCAGCTGTTCAAGAAACATAAGGAGAGACAGTTGGCTTCTGATTTGGCAAGGAGAAGGTCACTTTTGATCTTGACAAGAAATGTGTCAATGGAAGGATCCAGGATAAAACTTCCTTTGAGTGGATACTGGAAATAGCATAGAGAACTTTTGGATTTCATCATTTATCCATTTACTTATTTATTTATTCATTTATTCATTTATTCATTCATTCATTCATTCATTCATTCATTTATTTATTTATTTATTTATTTATTTATTTATTTATTTATCTATTTATTTATTTATTTATTTATTTATTTTTCAAAGTTGAGCAAAAATGTGCCTGTTTTGCTGAGAGATGTGTTACAGTGTGTTTCTGTACACTGGGAAATGATCGGACAGGTCCTTTTGTAATGCAGCAGGGAAAGGGAGAGCTCTAGGACTATTCCTGAGGAGTCAAAAGGGGAAGCACACAGCAAATCTGGTCTTTACTGCAAGCAGGGGCTAACTGTAGATTCTTTGTAAAAGAGGAGAAAGAGAGTGTAGTAGTTTGCTGGTCTATTGCTGTAATAATAGACATTGTAACCAGAAAGTACTTGGGGAGCAAAGGGTTTATTGCTTGCCTTTCCTGTGATAGTTCATCATTGGGAAAGCCCAAGCAGGAAGGCTCTCATGCAGGGCAGGCTGTTTACCCCACTAGCTTGCACTCCATGACTTGCTAAGCCTGCTGCCTTTTCTTTCTTTCTTTCTTTCTTTCTTTCTTTCTTTCTTTCTTTCTTT